TTTGAAGCAGTTTTTTTGGAGCTCTTTTAAATCTGAAAATTGGCTTGCACAATTATTTTGATCCGTTTCGCCTTACTGAATGTTCAAACATTCACATAACTTCATATGGCTATTTGCAACGTAGCTTCTTAGTTCATTATCTTGATACAGCAGAGACCTTCTTTAGGATTAATTGCGGTGCTTCTAGCAGCAACACTTACTATTTAAGGTTTTACCCCTAAATCAAACCCTTAAATTTTAAATGTTGATAAATTTTCGTGCTCAAGTACAAAACTCTAACCCTGACACCGTAATGTTTCGAATCGATGTATAAAGTCGAGAGTAGCAGATTGTACGGTAGAATCGTATTGGCTCTTCTAGGTAGATGAATTTCGGTAATGAATATGTCAACTTGTACCGGTTATCAAATATATATATTTAAGCTTTATATGTTTGTCTGTTCATTAGGTAATATCAAATGAACATGTAAATAGCAAGGAAATCTTTGACTTATGCCGTTTGAACAGGCTTTAAGTTTTTGTTGTAGATCTCACTTATATGGACAAATGTCCGTGATGAGCGTATCCAGAGAAGAAATTGCTACAAGCAGTTTTCGCTCATGTACTGCAACAAAATTTTCCTGTAGTTAAAAAACACAGATACGGTAGCTGGGAATATTTAGAAGAACGGATTTCCGACAATTCAATGATGTTGAACCTAAGATCAAGTACCCCGCCGAAACCTATCTGTACCATCGCAGCTGTATTTGCCGAAACTACGTTGGTGTCCGTTAGTACTCATTCGACCATAAGGTTCCATCAGGCATATTTAGTTCAAAACCTCTTAAGGTAGCTAAAAGAATATCACTTTCATCGTTGCTTTTCGTTTTATATTAGGTGAAGGTCAGTTTAGTATGCCGCCAATGCGGTATAACCGTCCAGCAGATAAAGTAATGCTATTCGAAGAACATGAGTAATTGTCACCATGTGAAAGTGGGCACAAGTATATTGGTAAATTACTAATATGAAAAGGTGATTATTTTAACAATGCCTTTAATGTTTGGACACTAAAATGTTTGACCATTAAACTAGTTATGACGAACGACTTTAAAAGAATTGGTTGGAGCATTTTTTCAAGGCTTCCAGATTTGCCAAGGGTATCGCGTCAACCTTAACAACTGCACAAATAACTGTCTTTCTTTTAATGATGGATGTACCGCCAATTAATACATTGATAAATACTTGGAAATTTTTGTCTCCATCACGACTTTGTTTTTGACTGCAGCTTTAACTATTCCGGTTCGCGATATAAAATTATGTGAGGATTTCGTTTGATCCCTGAGAATTTATCGATCTCTAGTTATATCTGAAATCTATAGCTGTTGACTTTTACTGGATTCAATTCAGCGAAGTTTCCTTATGGTAAAAATTGCCCATTATAAGGTTTTTGCGCATTTATCAAACATTTATTTATTTATAAACCAAGCATTAGTTAACTCAAAGGTTCGGCATGTCCACAGAACAGTTCCTACAACATGAAAGTTGCCAGGTTTCAGAAGTGACCATTAATGGGAAACCTGTATATTCATTTACCCATGTGCGACAATTTTTATTTACAAGACAGTTGCTGAAAAAACTACAACCAAGTACAAGCAACGTAACACACAAAATATAATATCATCACGTGTTTTCGTAAAAAAATTGACATAGCAAACCTCATAGTACAGATATTATGAAGGATAACTGATGCAATATTACTAACCTAACTGATGGTGATAAATCAAAATTCCGCTATTCATATTCGAAAAGCAACAAGCTATTTTTCATTCCTACTTGCTTAAGGTCATCTAAGGAGTTGAATGAAGTCGCTCGCTACAAATACTACATTTTTCCGAGGCACTGTTAGAACACACCTGATCATTCTTCGTTCCCGGCAAAAAGAATTACGGCCAAAAACACGGACCCATGTGGAGTAAGGTCCGGAAGTTGGTGTTGACTCATTGGACCCATCAGGTAGGCCGAGACAACTATATGGGACACTGAACAGACCCCTTTAATAACGGTGAGAAAAATACCCCCGCCGTCACTACCTTCCTTGCTAGCTAACGCTAAGCTTAGCAGCGGGTTGAGGGAACCCTACTTCAAAATGACAGCACATGACGATTTCGTAATCGAAAAAATCGTTACTGGAAAATGAGGCTTGCGGAAAATAGAATTAAGTACGAATGATTGAATTCGCATGACAAAAGTGAACGATACGAAAAGCTAAGTTGGGGTTACTTCAACACTATGTAGCTGGATATAAACTAGCTATCACTTAGCTTATTAATAAGCCTTGAAATTATTCATGATTCTTATAGAAATGAAATCGCGTGTTAGCAAGTTCTAAAAATATCAGAACAGGCTTTAATTACAACATTCACATCGCACATGTATGTGGATGTGTGCTTTCAAATTAACTTCACTATATATGTGTATATATATATATATATGCAAAAAAAGGGTCTTATACTACAAGATCCTTTCTTTGTGCCACCCTTATCAATCAAGCGACTTCCATGCATTATCCAAGTAACAATTATGCGGTAGTGAGATAAGAAAATATTTCTTTCGCTGAACGTGGAACAAGGCGGGTATGTAGCGCTAACGACTTGAAGGATTTCAACTGTTTTATTCTTTACTGCATCACTGCGTCTGCGATCTCTAGCGTTACCCACAAGAAACAGGTGACTATACATTTGAGTTTGTGGTAGACACGGTGTCCTTAAGAAAGGGTGCAAGAAAGACACCAGGGCGAATAGTAGGGATTTGAGTCTTCTTTGAACGCCGAAAGCATAATATAAATCTTGTGAACTGCACTAAACGTTCTAATGTTAACCGAGCATAATGCAATTATTCATTTGCTGTGCCTGATGTAAAATGGCGACAATCAAAATGTTGCTGAAGGTACACGGTACCTTTTGTTAAGTAAGAAATTATCGACCAGCGCCGTTCTAACCTGCCTAGGTAGCGTTCCAGTATGTCTTTTTGACATGTCAGATATCAGCTTCAGCTCTGCCGTTTTTAAAAACAATTTTTTGGTTTTTGAGTTATCAACAAATTTAATTTCTTTGGTTGCTATGTCAGAACGGCGCTAAGCACGATCAGCAACATTGTGCAAAGTATGCATAATGAAACCAAGACTCCAAGTCATGTTTTAAAACAATTGTATTCTAAATTATTTTTATGGAAAAAATGACATGAACAAGAGTGTCCATTTCTTCGTCAGTCTCTCCGCAGTACGAGGATTTATTGTAACTCTCAAATAATTAGCGAACGTCTTTAAAATGTAACAGCCGAATGCCGCACTTCAGGAGAAGTTCAGGCTTTGATACTCGTCCATTCCTTTACTTTTTTGTAAAAGTCAAAGAACCTGCCCACAACTGCGAAATTATACGTTATGCATAATATAGACCGGCATAAGAGGCTCCAAAGACTTTAAAAAGAAAAAAATATAAGATAAAAAACACGAGCTTAGATTTGTAAAAACACTGCCAGTTGATAAATTAGATAAAACAGTTTCTAAAGCGTATCTAATTTCGATTGTACGCATTTACACGTTTAGACGTTTGCATGGTTTCTTGCTGACTTTCCATCCCAACCGCCGCGGGCAGCCATAGCACAAAAATGACGTCTTTGTTTCGAAAAAAAAACTCGTTTGGACGTACACTTTGAAGTAATGCACACAAAGCACACTTTTTTAATCTCCCTACTATTGCGACCCCCGTTAACAGTTATTTATGGTAGAAGCCCATCGACATGGTGTTCCAGGAAATCTGTACTGCCATTGCTTGTATATCTTGTAAACAATACACCGGGTTTTAATAGCTCCTGTTAACCCTGTCTCAGATTCGAAGTACACAAGATAGCATTATTTCATGAAAAATGAGTGCAAACCATAAATGCATTCTCTAAGATGAAATAGACTTAATTAAATTAGCCTATTCTGTCGACTTTTTTTGATTCTGCAGATGGACTTATCGTTTATCACTTGTTTCAATGTTGCATCTTGATATCGTAGGTTAGAACAAGTTTGATTATTGCGATAAAAAATAAAATATTAGTGGAATATAATAGGTGAAAGATACATTGTTCTCATATTTTGTGTGTACTTAACGATCCATTTCAGCACAAATTCATCATACAAAACTGTGCAAATTATTCATTATAAACATTATAGATTTGCATGATAAACTTGGGATTTGTATGGTTCAAGTGCGTGACTAACACAGAGTATCTTCTTCTTAAGCGGCTTCCATTGGACACGTATACAAATAAGGTCAAACGAGCACAACGATGACAGTAACATGCTTAATATGTATCATTAACACACATACATACTGGACAGTCGGCAAATTAAAAACATCGGTGCTTGCAAGCTTAATAGTATATCCTATGTCATTAATCCTTCCAACGTTTTCAAATCTCATAAGAAACCATTGACTGAGAAAAAGATAATCAACTCCGAGTCGACTACCCCTACATACGCTTGATACTCCTGCCATCTATTCTGTACAGCAAAAATACCTGGTATTCATACGAAAGGACGTTACTTCCCGAGGACGTCCATCATCACCTTTTTGGTATCCATTATGTTGTTCAATAAATTGTAAGCAGTGCTAAATCACAGTTTAAATTCCTCTGAAAGGAAACCAGGTATTGGATATGAAGAAGCAAAGCCCTTAAACCCTTAAACTTATGCCCTGCTGTTTATATTCGCATAATTTCACACTGTCTTGTCTTAGGTTATACGTATATGGAGGAAACCTAATAAGCACACGAGAAAATACTTCGATATTAGATACATAGATTGTTGTACAAAGTCGCATAAAAATGACAATAATGTGGTCCATAAAACCTCATCATTATATCATTCGTTAAGCATATTATTTTCTTATGTATATGAATTGCATAGCAAATAAGCGGTTTCAACGGCGGTTATAATAGTTGTATTTATTAATACGTATTAATACATATGTTTTACACAATATACATTATAGTATTATACATACGCAGTTTAGGGTAGTCCTGTATTAGCAGTAGTAACATATTTACTATCAATGCACCATTGTTCTTTATTGATAATGAAAATAAAAGACGATTTTATTATATGGATAAATTATCAAAAGCACAGAGCATGAATATTCTCTGATATCCAACATTCGACAATATCTATCCTAATCAATTATTACCTCAGACGCATTCACTAATTCGCACGTTACACGATTTTCAATTACAATGACGGTAGCGGTGCGATGTCACCTCCGACCGCGGCGACCTCCTTCAGAAAGCTTTCCAGGTTGACAACATTCGGCAGTCGCTTTGGCTGGGCATTGAGTTTGCCAAAGAACTCTGTACATAGGACGTGCATCAGCTTGCCAAACTGTCTTCTGTACGTCTGCTTAAGCACGTAACCACTGGCTTCGAGCAGCGACTGCACGACCATGGCGGCAACATCTGCAAGTTCACTCGATCGTATCTCGGTTTTAGCAGTAGTCGTCAGCAACCTCCACATTCGATCGGGTGGGAATGGCAGACCCCACCGAGGTTTCTGACACATGATCACACCGAGAAGGCGGGAATAGACGCCCATTCTTGCCACAAAACGTGAATGGTCCTCTTGCTTGTTACAAATGAATTTTTTCACGTACTCGCTCGCTTCATCCGCATCTAAATTCGAGAAATATACCGGAGCGAGAAATGGACACCGCGATATTATGTGATCGAAGAAGATCTCGCCAAATTTTCGAGATGCTGACCAGATCGTTGCGATGACCACGCCATACGGCAGCCATTCTTTGATCTGTGTGAAGGACAGCTTTTCGATATTGCAAAGAAGCCGCTCCGCTGTTAGATGCATCGCGAAGTTAGATGCTTCAGGATGATCGCCCAGTTTAACTGATTGCGACCCGCTCAGCCCTGGAAGTCCAACCTCTTCTTTGCTAAACAGCCTTATAAAGAATAACGCGTGCTGAAGGTTGTTTGTATTGACCTGAATTTTATTTACCGTAAGCTGGATCGCGCGAAGGATATCCTTTCGTTGTCGTGTCTCGCTTTCAACAAATGCTTTTCGCTTTTCACCGGCTTCCTTTAGACGCTGAATTGCTTTCATGTAAATATCTTCGTCCACGTTTTTCTTCGCTTCATTCTTTGCCTTGTGCTGAGCTTCTGCTGCCTTTTGTTGAGCCTGCTGGGCTTCGCTTTCCTTCAATTCGCGATCGTATTCATCGAGAATAGCTTGCATTTGTTTAATGCCGTCATCAGCAACGACATGCAGATCCTTCCGAGCATTCTGCAGCGATGATTTAACTTCCAATAATTTTTTTTCCACCTTTTGGGCCAGCGGTGTATCCTGCTGCAAGTTGACTATGCACTGCTCGATTTTAACCGCCAGGTCCTGGATTCGCGCACGAGAGATTGCCAGTTCTTCTTCTAATTTTTTCTGAAGCTCAATGCGCTCCTCTTCCAGTTTGGCTTTTTCTGCCAATCGAAAAATCTCTTCTGATTTCTTCTTTACGAGTGATTGTGAAGTGACGATCTTCTCAGCTAAAACCTTGTGGAGTTGCAACACCATCTCACGGTTTCTCTTCGCCTTGTTTATCATATCCTGACGTCGGCGGGCGCTTTCACTTTCTATTTCTTCGCGCCGACGACTCATTAACGCATTGAGAGTTGCGTGCATCTCTAAGTACACTTTGATTCGTTGTTGGTGATCTTCTTGAACCTGGCGTTCGATATTTTCGTGCATATTACGTATTTCACGTTCTTCGGCAAGCGAAATTTCAGCAATCTCCCGTTGGAGACTGTCTTCAGCCACTTCCAGCGTGCTGCGATTAGCGCTTTCTGCAACGTCTCTAGAGTCATCATGGTGTATTTCTAGGCCGCAGATTTCACCGGTCGTCGTCGCACAGAAAATTGGCCGGCGCGCATACTGCTCAGCTTCCAGCTGCCGCTTGAGCTCCTCTGGTGTACGTGGGCACTCATTTAAACCACTGAAGTCCGCCGACTTCCGAAGCAAACGCCTACTTCGACCGGCCAGGTGTTCTCGAACCTGGCGCTGTGCATCCTGCAACGACCACGTCTCACTAACCGATCGAAGCATTTGTGAGCTCTCGTAACCGAGTCAGTATTTCGTATAAAGAGGTTAGAACCGACTATTACTATACTATAGTTCACTGCATCACTAGAACTGTTATTGTCAGCCAGCGCGCTCAGATAAACTGTCTGCAACCACTGAAAACAAACACAGTCGCATTGCTTTAGTGGCGCGAAATTTTGAAAAAAAAACCGTGTTACCCGTCTTCCGCAAGACGTTTGTCATTCGAATGACAATACTTCATTGAAGTATAGCATTGGCTCGAAAAGTTCATCGACTCAGAGATACTATCTGCATCTGTATGTTTTGAATGTGACTTTCGTGCAAATATGGCAGTCATATTTGTAATTAATCATGTAGGTCAATAATTACATGCAACAAAGTTTTAAATAAATAAAAACAACCGAGTAAGGAATAATTACTATTTATGAAGCCGAAACTAGTTGATAACGGCTATCTGTTGAGGTTCGAAGGTAAGATATTCAAATTCACCCATACATTCTTTATACCTTTTCATACTGCTGTGATAAGAAATGGCTCGAAAATATTGCACTTAAAATAAATTTGATAGTAATGAACTGAACGAGAAATTTGGGAAAGAGAGGTAAGAGTAACTACAAATAAAAAAACACAAAATAACGGTTATTTAGCTGAACAAATCGGGCCTTCTGTAACGAAATAAGGGTGCGTATGTGACTATTAATATGACAAAATCTGAGAATTACTATTACAGATCAAGCATAAATGGTTACAAAAGCGGAAATACACGTTTTTAGTAAAAAAAAAATTAATAAAAGAGCGAGAAAGTTATATAATTAAAATGATACGGGTCAATTTCAGAAGACGGTTATTGTAGTAATTAATCTCATTTTATATCTCAGCCATTTACACTATATTCGACGATATCAAGCAATGCTGTAGCGGAGAGAGCTCAAACGAAAACACACGAACAATGAGAAGGCACTTAATTTGAGGAAACTATAAGCACCCGGCACAACGCCAGTGTCAATTGTAGTACTGTCAAACAAATTCTAACCGTCATCATATACTAGATTCACATAAAAATTATTTTAATTAATCAATAAATATCACACAAATAAATTGAGAAAGTCCGCACAGCAGGACAAACAAGTTGTATTCTGGTTAGTTAAATTTCTGCCGAACAAGGATTACAGTGTCCATATAGGTCCGCGAATGTATGGACTGACTGGCTGTGGGCATGGGAGGTCCAAGTCTCGCATTTAAACATATCCGTGAAGAACTTCCAGAGATCACTCTAACCGACATTCTCTCAGCCATACGTTACCTAAATTTGGGCTCGTTCGTCCCCTCGTTATTTTGCACCTGAAGCAAGTAAATGGCTGCAGGTATTTCTTAATGACAGACGCCGGCCCCCGCGGCCTCTCTTTGAAGCTGAATGGGGTTGCAGGTAGTTGCGTAAGAATAATTAGCATTTTGGCCTTTAACGAAGAGAAGCTCCAGCCGTCAGCAGTTTTAGAAGTACTTTTTAGTGCAACGAAAAGCGAACTGTCTTTCGATGAGACTTCATCGAGCTGATAACCTATCATTTGATAGAGAAGCCCAGTCCCCTGTGTGCTTCCCCGTAATAGCTTAGTGGGTAACATATTTGTCCGCTGATCTTGAAAACACATTGTGGACTACATTCGAATCCATAGGGCATAGATGGACAGATGCACTGTTCGTTTGGTGCTGGCAAGAGGCAGCCAGTGGTCCATCCGATGGAATGCCCAGCGGCGATGCCGGACGTGAAGCTTGAAACGTAAACGTTATGCTAACTTAGCGTTACGACTGTGCTGAAGGCCTTTTATTGTTTATGTTATGGCACGTTTAATTTCGACCCGAAAAAGCATGCAGAAAGTCAAAATAGTGAGACGTGTGTATCTTTCTAGTGGGTATAGTTTATGATATTTTGAGCCTGAAATAATTTGTTGAATAGACACTAGATAGATATTTTTACCTAAAGTTCATTCTTTTCGTTTGGGGGCCATAAATGTTTGGCCACGATTTGCACTGCTGAATAGACCTTTGTTACAGGGTCGTTTGATATTCCTTTGCGATGCATATCTTAATATGTATCGATTTTACTTATTCAGGGTTGTCAGATACCTAAAACACGTCTTTCGCTATATCATTTGATTGTCAAATTCCAAGAGAAAAGTCTGTTAGAATTTCGACAATCTGTGAATTGTCGAAATTGGCCATAAAATCTTTGGGTATTGTCTAAAATCTCAAAAAGTGTTGTCTTGAAAGTTTCGGATTCTCGTGGAAAATTTGCCACGAGTTTGACAAAAGGCATTGTACGTAGTTGTTCGAGACATAAGCAATGGCTTGAAATTAATACTTCAAGCGTTTCTCTTTAATCACACTCATTATGCGCTATATGTTATTAGGCAAAGCCTGGGGTCAGTAGGAAGAACAGAAATATCTTTTAACAGAACAGTGAAGCTGAACTTCAATAAGTTAGTGTACGCAAACGCTGAAAAAAGCTAGCAAATATAGCTTTGGCGGAAGAGTTTTGCTGAGCGATGACCAAAACCCCAAGAACCACAAGTGATTTGGCTGGTATTAACGATAATGAAAAAAAAAAACGTGTGCGAGCTTATCGATGAAGATGTTTTCGTTCATAAACCTCACATTCGTCGAGATCGATTTCATCACGACCGACCTAACTGTGATACTAATTATGGTAATTTTTGAAACAGACGTTACAGATCTTCAACTGCACAACACTATAATAACAAAGTCTCGCACACAAAAACTACCGATAACAATTGTTTTAAAGAAAAAGCTGGAAATTGGCTTGGCCTCTTGGACTGACGTTCTTCTAGTTTCAAGACATAAAATAAGACGAGGCTTTTTAGCAAGGTGTAGTAAAATACCCTGATGGCTATGACCCGAGTGAACTATTGCTAGTTCGATAAGGGGAGCGCGTTTTGCATGGGCGCATATAGAAACGCACAGCACCCACCGTTCCTTTTTTTGCAGAAATTTGTGATTCATAGGGCAATACATATGCATATATATATCGACACAACGTTCGTCACATTTCGTATTCCGACTATGATCCTGCAGTCGGTCACTTAGTAACAACGTTAATAAACTTGTGGTAATCAAATGAGGGATCGTAGAACTATGATTAAGTGGTACTATGTTTTCAAAAAAAAAAAAAAAATAAATAACAACACGGATAAATGCCTTTTTTGGAAGGCTGGTAAGCTGTAAATAAAAAACTATTTCATAGTACGTATATACACGTACCGTATTAATTTAGACACCCCAATATCTTTATATAATGTAATGTTTTTCCTGTTTGTTTTTGTTGATGGTGGATCGCTCAGCCTTATGATTTCTGTTGCGAAATAATAATATAAAACTGCGTTGATATTATTATAGACGATGAAGGGCCACTGACTGGCAATTAGTCCCTTTGCCAGTTTACTTGGTAGCACGTGCTTCATCAACTGTCGAATCTATAATAGCCGGAATCATTAGCGTGTCTGAAACAAGCGTTGAATAGGGCACAGATATCATTCTTAGTGCCAATATTGTAATAATGTCTTCAAGATGAATGTGCCTTAATTAAAGCAGAACAATTGAAATTCAATTAAATATCATAGAAGTAATATTAACTAAGGCACAAATACAGCTCAATCTACCATTGCAAAAGATGTATCTTGTAAAGAAAGATTGTCTGCAACGCTGCCGTTGGGTCCCGATGGTTATGTCCCATAAAACACCTTTTGACGATCGCATCTGTTCCAAAATAGGCTCCAGCAGTCGAATCAAATAACAGGTCATTGTTATTCCTCTTCTTTCGCCAGCCTTCACGACTGAGCCCAGCAGCATAGGATTCGACAGGGTTACATCGAGTCCAGTGGCAATAAATAAGGGTCTCATGTTATTGTTCTTAGGACCGATAGTCCTTTTCAAATGCGACTTCTTAACTGCCTACAAATAACAAATTCAGCATTTCTCTACGCTAGTCTGTGCTTCTAAAGAGTTTTCCTAGGATGGATCCAGGATGATTGATTTTCTGCGATTTTTCGTGGCGCAGTCCCCGAGTGCAATACGCAATGCCCTGTTTTCGTTAACATTCATTGTGGCTTTCCCCCTCGAAAAAACTCAGGTGATTTAACGTCCTAGGTAATAACAAGGCACACGTGCACTCAGTCCATTAGCACATATTGACAGCCTATACCAATAATTCAATTTACAAGTACCTACTGTTGAACCTCAACAAGTTATTATTATGACGACCCCTTTCGTTGGCCGTGCTCGCGCATAAATAGCGTGTTCCGTTTTCCGTTTATTACATATGAGCAGGACCGCGTGCATCGCGCAGAACGAAGCTGGCGTGTATAATCTTCCTGTGATTTCACTTGCCTTAACAGCAACTTACCCGCAGTAGGGCTTGCGGTCAGCTGCGTTAGACGGGGAAAGTCGCAGGCTGACTCGACCCCAATCGAAGCTCTAGAATAGTCCGCTTTTGATTGTTCAGTTGTTGTGGTAGGAAAGACATTTCTCAGACGTCGCGCACATCTAGCACCAAAAAAAGGGTAATTCGTTTTATGTGAGTAGGAAGATTCTATTGAATTAGTTGAAGCCAAGATACCGTTCAATGGATAATCTCGGCTGACTCGGTATAATCTGGGTCGACATCTAGAAGGAACAGTTTGAAAGAAAATGACGAAGGAGGCACTTGAGAAGAAGACTCAATGAGTAAATCAAGATAGGCAGTGTATTTCGAGAAATTCCACCTGATATATAAGAAGCTTTGTGGTATGACCGAAAAATAAGATCCAACAGGTTTATTGCGAGACGAAGTGGCTATTCGATAATCAATTGTAGTATGGTTATTTCGAGTACGCTCATAGAGAACCAGTGGGTGAAAAGTACGTAGCATCCGTTATACCACTGGATAGACATCTTTGGCTAATGGGTCTAACTGTATTGCCGGGAGTTCCTCTTTCGAAACAGCTGTAAGTTCATTTGTTCTCTACGCTCCAAGCTTAAAAACGACGCTTTTCGAATTTGTCGCAA